CTGCCATCTTGTATTTGTAAACTGACAAAATCTAACATCAGACGTGACTTCAGAAAATCAACCAGTTAGAGCTGGCAAGTTTTCACGAAAATACTTTTCTTATTCTCTTTATGAGGACAATAACAAAGAGAAAATTCAGCAAAGGGATCGATGAAACAAATTTGTCGTCATGGATTCTTCAACATTATGAGTGTTCTTAAGATACCTGTCACTTAATTTTCCGTAGAAGTTTATATCCTTCAAACTTACTAACTCTTTTTCGGGACAAAGCAGTTGCAGCACTTTTCAAGAAACATACAATTTTGGAGCAGATGCACGGAGAATCAAAATTTCACTCATACTCCTCTACCTATTTTTCCTTTCCTTTCTTCCTCCTCTTATATTTTGCTATTATTCTCAGAAACACTATTTATATCATTGCTCTCTCCATAAAGTTGTTAATCATCTCATGATAGGACTCCGCTTTTGATGAACAAGTTAATTTGTGTCTTGGTAACAATTTTCAGCATTTCACCCAAGACACAAGCTCAAACTTTTTCCCTCACTCCGGTATTTTCGAGGAAAAAATTGATCTTTACTGCATTCTGAAGTAGGTGTGAAAGAATGCCATTGGAATACGAAGGAGATGGCAGCCTTTAGCGTAACATTACCAAAAATGAACCAAAAATATAGTTCATCTGAAAGCTTTGAATGCATTCCAGCAAAAATATCCAGTTTACTATATAACTAGTAACATAATAATAATTATATCACCTTGGTCTGCAACAGCCCGGCAATGAAACCATGAGAAGAAAAGAACAGACGCAAAACCAAAGGGAAGCATCGTGAAAAGGAAGCATTGATCTTTAAAATACATTATATACAACTGAAATATATACAGCGACAGACTGTTCGTTAACTACTGACGATTTTAGGATGTTGCACGACTGAACATCAGGGTTGTGGGTCCTAATTCGACGACCATTAGAAGACCACTGCCATCGTTTGTTTCTGTAACGTAAAGCAGTGAATTTTTAATGTTATTTGGCTTTTTCAGCATAATAAATTATTTAAAGTGTGGTTGTCTATGCCGCCTAGAATAGATCAGTTAACAACCCACGCTCATGATTTTGAAATGTGATTGTTTGGCATGTTTTTTTTTTCGAGAAACATTCAGGCGCAATTCCGAACATCTTTCATGTTAATTATCTGGAAATTTTTTTTCTCCCACTAAATTCTTCTAATGAATTTTCAAATAACCAGTTCTAGAGGATTTAGTTAACGCCCGAGTAGTAAAAATCATTACATGGAAATTAATTTATGTTTTCTGAGATATTTATTTTTTTGTTCCCGTGATTTTACTAAAATGGAATGAGACAAATAGATGACGCAGATATTGTACTCTTTCTCCTGAAAAACAAGAAAAAATTAATTATATGTACTCGACTTTGAAGCAGGCGTCTATTTTCCATTTAGTTGTTCTGAAAACATAGAGTCCTCAAAATAGAAGATAAAGAAAACAAAGTTTGAACGGTCAAAAGGCAAATGATATTTGACACGAGCGCATTTGAGCCAGCACATGAATTTGCGTTGTTTTTAAGACGTTGGTGTACGAAGGTTAGGGATATACCTGCGCGTTTGAGGCAATCGGTGATCTCAATGGTGTATAAACTGTGCATTGATATGCTTTTTTAGCCCGATTAACGCCTGTATTTTTCCGAGAATTCTTTCGTACAAATCGGTGAGTTCTTTTTATTTTCAAATTAAGATCGAGGAGCAGGGTCTTCTCTGATCACGCTGGCATGAAAAATATTTCAGGTGAAGTTTCCATATTTTGGCTGTGAATTAACTAAAATTTACACTTTCGATCGCTGTCCACACCGGTGATCTAGCCAAAAATAATTTCCGGCTTGTGGCGACACAAAAAAAAGTGAATTGGAGAACAACTAAACTATTTTTATAACATGTGTCCTTAAACCCTTTTCATGGGCAAAAAAAAAAAAAAACCAAAGAAAACTTTTTTTTGAAGGGAAGTCGAGACGACCACTCTTAGCGAGAGCGGCACTTAATAGACTGAAAGCCGACTATTGTTGAAAACTTTGAATTATTGATCAGTAAGAAGTATATAAATAACTTTAATCAGGATTCAGTTTAAAACGCTTTATGTACCATGAGAAGTATGCGGTAGAAAAACTATTTCCCTAGTGCATGGAAATAGTTCCTTGAAAGTTAGAGTCCAAACCGCATTTCGAAGTCGAATTTACATGCTTTCTTCACCAGGCTACCGAAATTTGAAAAGCTCCCTGCTATTTGAATGAAGCAATTTTATAACAAATTGAAAGGAACTTGCCAATCTTGATCGTCTCCACACTGTGCGTAGTTCATGACCAGATGTTTCAAAAAAAAATTATCTAGAAAACGCCTTTCGATCACCTTTGTTTACTTTGTAAGTCACGCAAGTGCGCAAGCGTTACGACCTATCCCGTTTACGCAACGTTTAGGACAACTCGGCATCTATTCTCCATTTAGTTGTTATGAAAACCTAAAATCCTCAACGTAGAAGATAAAGAAAACGAAGTTTGAACGGTCGAAAGGAGATCCTGGTCAATTTTCTTAATGAGCATAGAGAGGACGCCTACTCTGATGAAAACTTCGGATTATTGATCAGTAAGAAGTATATTAATATCTTTAATCAGGTTTCAGTCTAAAACACTTTACGTACCATGAGAGGAATGCGCTAGAAAAACTATTTTCGCCGGTGAATGGAAATAGTTCCTTGAAAGTTCAGGGAGTCTAAACTGTATTTTGAAGTCGAAGTTATATGCTATCTTCACCAGGCCACCGAAATTTGATCAGTTCCCTGGTATTTGAATTAAGCAATTTTATAACAAATTGAGAGGAACTTGCCAAAGTGTAAAACGATATGGTAAAATTCTAAGGGTTAGTTATTATTTTTTCGGTAACAGATCATACATCAATTGAAAACCTGTCGTAAATTTATGCACATCTAGACTGAAATTTGTCTATATCATTTAATTAGCATATACAGGAAGCCTACTCTTGTTTAAAACTTTGAATTATTGATCGTTAAGAAGTATATCAATATTTTTAATCAGGATTCACTCTAATACGCTTTACGTGCCATGCATGAGAAGCATGTGGTAGAACAACCAGTATTTTCTCTAGTACATGGAAATATTTCCTTGAAAGTTTAAGGAATCCAAAGTGAATTGGAAGTCGAAGTTATATGCTATCTTCACCAGGCCACCGAAATCTGATTAGTTCTCCAGCATTTGAATTAAACAATTTTATAACAAAGTATGAAGAACTTGCATGAGCGTGAAACGATATGGTAAAATCCTAAGGGCTAATTATTATTTGTTGTAAAAGATCACATATCAATTGATGAGATATCGTTGATTTATATATATTTGGTCTGAAATTTTTCTTTACCATTTAATTAGCAGGAAGCCTCACTGAAAACTTTGAATTATTGATCAGTAAGAAGTGTTTTTTTTTATCTCCTTCATGCAGTTTTCAAGTGTTTACATTTCGATATCTCATATCTAAAACAGTCGAATCATATTACACCAAGGTAATTTAGTGTTATCGACTGATTTTAAAGCGTAAATTGGCCACCGTAAAGAGTTTAAAGGCTGACCTTTCGAGCGTAAAGTTGTTAATCATCTCATGATAGGACTCCGCCTGTGATGAACAAGTTAATGTGTGTCTTGATAACAATTTTAAGTATTTCACCCAAGACACAAGCTAAAACTTTTTCCCAATCCGGTATTTTCGAGGAAAAAAATGATCTTTACTGCATTCTGAAGCAGGTGTGAAAGAATGCCATGGGGATACGAAGGAGATGGCAGCTTTTAGCGTAACATTACCAAAAATGAACCGAAAATATAGTTCATCTGGAAGCTTTGAATGCTATTCCAGCAAAAATATCCAGTTTACTATATAACTAGTAACATGTCAAAATGTATTATGTTGGTTTCACGTTTCCCTTGAAAGCTATTTTTTTCACCGTGAAAGCTGGAACCGGGGCTAATACAATCTTTACTTCCGTTGTTCTCAATCCTTTAGTTGACAAACGACTCAGTTTTGCGGAGATCTTCTTCCACCAGGACATTGCAAAACTGAAAATAGACTAAACCATTGACCGAGCTTGAAAAAAATCAGTCTTGGAGACCTCGCACGTCTGACTCTAATAATTCTTCTTTCAAAAAACCTCAGTGAAATTATGCTGACTTGTAGTGCTACTTTAACACAAAGAACAAAGACAATGCTCGTTTTTTATGCCAAAAAATAGGCTAACACAATTTATAAGGGCCTAGCTTAGATGGACTAAAGAGGAGATTGATAAGTTTCTTTAGTGAGACTATAAAAAATGGACCAGACCCTCCTGGAACTGAGGTTTAACAATGAATATTTTTTTCATGGTAAATGAAATTAAAATGAACAAGATTTGGAATGGAGAACTGATATTTATAATGAAAATGTCTTTTTGCAATCTCTTACTAAGACTTCATCCTCTCAACGTCTTCTACCTTTTATTTTTATGGCGGAATAAGGGATCTTTTACCACGGATGTTTATCAAAACAGCAATGTGTTTATCTAATTACCTATTTATTTCTTTATGCTCATTCAATTAAACAATAAGTGTATGATAAGGTTTCACCAATTGATCACTACACAATCAATGACAAATACTTCAGATTTCCTCAGCAAGTTTAGTAATGAGTCTGTTAAAACAATTCTAATGAAAATGACTTTCTAGGAAAAAGAACTTAATTTCAATTCGTTGCCAATGAAGATCTAAAGATGTGAAAACCTTAAGATCTTTTCCCTTTCGTAGCTTTGCTTTGAGAGGGAAAAGATGCGATGTTAGTGACCATTTTTAAATGCTGAAATAACTTGGATCACAGGGTGAAAATAAATAATTAATACCGTCCTCTCCACGGTTCTTTTTAGCAGATAATTTTTAACAGATCCACAAGTTCAACGACGAGGACTGGGATTGATTGTCACGTGTTTGAGCATCATAACCAAAGTCATATTTAAAAGGTGAAGAGATATTACGTCATAACAAGTAAATTGTGGTTTAAGGGTTAATGTAAACAACGAGAGAATTAACGGTTTTAATTTTTAAAGTGAAATACAGTAAACCTATAAACTATTTTCTGAGTCTTATTTTCTATTTTTTGTCAAGTTCGAAAGCTACTGCTGTTTTAAAAAAGCCAAAATTTATAGTATAAAAAACGAAAAATCTAAAACAAGTCTGCCATGTTGGTTGACGTCACCGAATCACAACAGCGCGATTTGCATTTGTATCCCATGATATCAACAGCATCTCGTAGACGAAGGCTATCTATTAAATGTAAAAACCTTGAAAAATATTGCAAGGTAAATAAAACACAAGGGAGACTTCCAACCAATCCCTCTCTCCCCCCCCCCTTGTACAACGGTGAAGGTTTAAGCTTTCATATACGTTTGACAATGAAACTAGGATAATAAACTGACAAGAAATGAGCATTATCCTTTTCAACGTTCTTCAGTTCTAATCTTAGTTTGAAAAAGAAAGATCGTATAATTTTCAACGAATCCATAAGTTCAACGAGTAGGACTGGTTTGGAGGGGTGTTTGACAAGGCATTGTAACCAAAGTCATATTCAATTTCACTACCTCCTTCTTCAACGAAAGAAGCAGCGTTAGCTTCTGTGATCCCAATCCCATGATCAGCACGTGCACAGCCACCTCCCTCCCCACCAATCATCATCACTGCTCCATCCCCAGTACTCCAGTCACACCAGAAGCCGATCTTGTTAGCGCTTTGGATGTCTCCACTGCAGTTACCTTGTTGAAACCCGTCTGTTGACTTGTACTGTCCGCCATATTGAACTGGACAACTTCCCAGACACTGATCAGTGGCCCAGACCTTGCCATTTCTAAAGTCGCCATAACTTGTGATTTTAGATCGAAATGTTTGTCCACCCAAACAGTTACCTGTGGTCTGTAACAGAGGGATGTGGCTGGGGTCGTCACTGCGTGTGATTTTTAATTCTCTGCCGCCGACCGACCAAAAGGCTGTTGAAATCATATCGTCGTTCTTTGAAGAGTTGTTTGTCGCTCCAAGGGCAATTTGTTGGTCATACCACCATCTACCATCGTCACGCATCCAATTTTTGCCATCGCTGTTTGAGAATCGAGCGATAAGAGTCCAGCCTGTAGTGAAAACAGTTCTCATATTTTCTGTTTTTTGATTTTTATTATTATTATTATAGTGCATGGACATTTTAATTTTATTTCTACGTCTTTCTGGCATATGATGGGAATATTGTAGAGGATAGCTCTGTATTCTCTTTCTAACTTGAAACGAATTGTGCAATGTTCCCACCCTTCTTCTGTTTTTATCGGTGGTAAAAAAAAAATGAAATAAAAAAATAAAAAATTTGCGGTGACCATAATGAAAAATATTAACCGTTAGCCGTAAAAACCATCACTACATTAAGACACTCTTTGAAGACCAACTTTTGAGCCAGAGGTAGATCGATATAACTACGGATTTAGGGCACCGATTGCAATTTTCAGAGCCTCGCTTTCTAGTCTAATAGAAAAAAATGCGGGGGGGGGGCACCTTCTCGGTTTTACCACCTGATATCCACAATCGGCCAGAAAGTTTGGAGATGTGAAATAGATAATGGTTGTTAGTTGTTGCAAAGCAATAATCCTATCTTTTATAAACCATACATTTCTCTTACTTTATCTTCTAGCTCCTTGTCAAATAAATCTTTGAAAGCCTTACACCAGAGGCCAAAAGCTTTCGGTATGAAAATGTTGTTTTTGGTCAGTGAGCGCAAGCTTATTTAAAAAAAGATGAAGTTATCAAAACTGGTGGAGAGGAATTAGTTATAGCCTAACTAATAAACTGACTCTAAGTAGTGTGACTAACAAATAACAAACAGGGTTTACCGCTATGTATACATGTTTTTCCATTTCCATAAAATCCACTTTTACAGGAACACTTGTGGGAGCCATAGGTGTTCTGGCAGTTTGCATTGACGTCACAGGGCCAGATGGAAGCACTGCACTCGTCCATATCTGAACATTAAACGAAATTAACTTGTGTAGGAGTGAATTAACGGGAGAATTTGGAAATATTCGATGAGGACAAGAAAGTGGTAAACAGCAAAGCTTTGAGTCATTCTCCGGTAATAGAAGAGAATTACGCCGTCAGTTAAGTTTGAAGCAGTGTTGTAAATGTACACTAAATTATGTCTCACCCGTTTCGCAATGTTCCCCTGTGTATCCTTTCGCGCAAACGCACACGTAACTGTTCTTCTCGTACTGTGCTGCACATTTCCCATTGTTCTGACAAGGCCATTTCAAACATGGAGACTAAAGAAAACATATACCAAAGAGAAAGAAACGAGAAAGATATGGCACCAATCATTTTATATATAATCATGGACCGTGTTTCCAAATAGTCAGTATCTCTAATTAAACCTTCCCCGCTAATACCAATAATTCTTTGTAAGTCTTCCGCTCAAACAACCCCTCTTCCTATTTCTGCAATTAACCACACTGTCCTCCTTCCACTATAAAGAAACTTCAAAAGAAAAACACATGGCTTAAATGTTACTGTTGTCAGATTGGACCAGTTAGCTTTTAGGCGTATTTTTAAAAAGTTTTAAAAAACCGGCCTTAGCAATTGCAGCAATTCCTCTTTTCCTTTTATAAAAACAGAGTGAACGTTTTTTCGTTTCCAACTTACTGCGATACTATAGTGATGGTGACTCTGACTAGGAACAAGCTTGTCTGAGTTGTTGTACAAATCCGATGGAAGTAATTCACACAGAACTTTGCCATTCATATCATGAAATGCAGCCAGGTTAAACGAAAAACACGACGGAAGGTTGACACAAGCAAATCCACACTCGCTACCCTTTCCAACATAATCCGAGCCAATAGTAGTGATGTTGAGGTAGGAAAACTTGTGTGTCTTAAAGTTGGCATAAGGTATTCCTTCACCTGTGCCTCGGCTTAGAGGTTTACCTCGCATATCGACGACTTTTGTTTCTAGAAATGAAGAAGGGAATGATAAATGATAAGTGAAAAGTATTGTACTCATGGACGATATTTAATCAGGAGTCAGTCTAAAACGCTTTACGTACCATGAGAAGCCTGCGCTAGAACAACAAGGAGTCCGAATTGCATTTCGAGGACGAAGTTATATGCTATCTTCACCAGGCCACCGGAAAGGAACTTGACAAAGTGTAAAACGATATGGTAAAATTCTACGGCCTGATTATTAAATGCGTTTGGTAACAGATCACATATCAATTGAAAACCTGCAGTAAGTTTATGTAAACCTAGACTGAAATTTGCCTATATCATTTAATTAGCATATACAGGAAGCCTACTCCTGTTTAAAACTTTGAATTATTGATCCGTAAGAAGTATATTGATATTTTTTCCTTTCCCATATTTTTTAAGATTTCAAATTCAATATCTTATATCTAAGACAGCCGAATTACATCACACCAAGCCTGTTTTTCTCCGCTATCTTGCATTCGTAAACTGGCAACATCTAACATCAGAGGTGACTTCCGAAAATCAACCGGTTAAAGCTGGCAAGTTTCCATGAAAATATATTTTTTATACTCTTTATAAGAACAATATAACAAAGAGAAAATTCAGCAAAGGGATCGATGAAACAAATTTATCGTCATGAATTCTTCAACATTATGACGGCGTGTTCTTAAGATACCCCTCACTTAATTTTCAGTATACGTTGACTTCCTTCAAACTTACTGTCTCTTTTTCGAAAAAAAGCAGTTGCAGCACTTTTCAAGAATATGCAACTTTGAAACAGATGCATGAATAATCCAAACCTCATACTCCTCTACTTATTTTCCCTCTCTTTCTTTCTCCTCTCATATCTTACCATTATCCTCAGAAACATTTTTTATATCATTGCTCTTTCCCCAAAGTACAGTGTTAATCATATTGTAAGAGGACTCAGCAGTATTTTGATCAACAGTGAATGGATGAGTGTCTTAGCAACAAATTCAAACACTTCATCGAAGACACAGGCTTAAACGTTTTTCGCAATCTGGTATTCTCGAGGAAAAAAAAAGGATCTTCATTGCTTTCTGAAGTAGGTGAAAGAGAATGCAATGGTGATACAAAGGAGATGGCAGCTTTCAGCATAACATTACCAAAAATGAACTGAAAGTATAGTTAATCTGAAAGCTTTAAATGCTATTCCAGCAAAAATATCCAGTTTACGATATAGCTAAAAACATAATAATAAGGTCATCACCTTCGTCTGCAACAGCCCGGCAATGAAACCATGTGAACAAAAGAACAGAAGCAAAACCAAAGGAAAGCACCCTGAAAGTGAGGCCTTGTCCTTTCAGATACATCACATAGACTGAAATATGTACAGCGACAGACTATTCGAACACTGCTGACGATTTTAGTATGATGCGCGACTGGACATCAAGAATTTGGGTCCTAATTCAACGACCACTGCCCTCATTTCTGCGACGCAAAGCAATGAATTTTTAATGTCATTTGGCATTTTTAGCATGATAAATTATTTATAGTGTGATTGTCTATGCCTCTCAGGATAGATCAGTTAACAACCCACGCTCACAATTTTGAAAGGTGATTCTTTGGCATATGGGTTTTTTTCCCTCGAGAAACATTCAGGCTCAATTCCGAACATATTTCATGTTGATTTTCTGATTTCTCTTCTTCCAAATAACAAGTTCTAGAGGTAGTTAACGCCAAAAACTAGTACATTTACTCGTTGTTTTCTAAAATCATTTTAGAAAACGACGATATTAAACATAATATGTATAATATATTATTAAAACAATGATATTACCCGTTTATAACAATGGAACGAGGCAAGGCGTTATTCTCCTTAAATGAAAATTAAAACAAGCTCATCTATCGGCAGAAAATGCTATAGAGACGTAGCATTGTGCGTTTCGTTGTTAATATCCGATGTTTTATATATGTTATTATAAAACAAACAGACGAGGAGCAGTATTCGACCAGCAGGTATCAATCTAACTTTTCCTATGTTTAAAATGCAGATGTTTCCTGTTTTGTTGTCTCTTTATCCTAAAGCCTTGTCGCGTGGACACTCATGATCTAGTAGTTTTGCATACCGGAACCGAAATTTTTAATTGAAAAGAAATTATTTTCAAAAGCATGAGCCGTTGACATGTCTAAAATGGGAAACTCTTGTTTCAGACGTTGAGAAATTCCTCGCCATGAGGATCCCACTGAATGAACTCTGATACATTGTCTACTACATTCAAACAACCGTTAAAAGAGGTATAAATATCATGATTGTGAAAGCGGAAAATCATTTTAACTAATCCATAAGTTCAAAGCAGTGCGACTTGACTGCAAAGGAAGTCATTTTAGCTAACCTACGAGACGCAAACTCAACATTTACTGACCATCGAAAATGCTCATTGATTAGCCCACGGACGTACAAGGGGGAGGGGGGGGGGAGTTGGGGATAGGGGGTGCTCCCTTCCGCCCTTGCTTTTTTTTTTGGCAAATTTATTCAAGAAGATTGTTTATTTTGCTGTGAACCTGGTGAAAATTATATGATAGATATGGGAGAGTTATTTTATTAATGACAAGTGAGGTGTGGTTTAAGGGTCGATATAACTATGAAAGAATTAACGGTTTTAATTTTCGAAGTGAAACAGGAAACCCTTAGTCTTAATTTCATTTTCCTTTCAAGTTCGATAACTACTGTTCTTTTGAAAAACCAACAATTATAGTGAAACAAGGAAAGAAAAATCTAAAAAAGACTGCCACGTCGGATGACGTCACCGAATCACAACAGCCCAATTTGCATATGTATCCTCTGATATTAACCACATCTCGTAAAAACGCAAGGGAGAGTTCCAACCAATCCCTCCCTTCCCCCCTTGTACTCCAGAGGAGATATAAGTTTTCATGTACGTATGATAATGAAACTTAGATAAAAAGGTGACAAGAAGTGAGCATCATCCTTTTCAACGTTCTTCACTTCTAAACTGAGCTGAGAAAAGAGAGATCTTATAATTTTTGACGGAGCCATAAGTTTTACGAGTAGGACTGGGATGGACGGGTACTTGACATGGCATCATAACCAAAGTCATATTCAGTTTGACCACCACCTTCAACTAAAAAGGCAGCGGCAGCTTCTGTGATCCCAATCCGATGATCTGCACGTGTCCGCCATACTGAACCGTACAACTTCACAGACACTGATTACTGGCCCAAACTTTGAAATCTCTAAAATCCCCACAATTTGTGATCTTAGATCGGAATGTTTGGCCACCCAAACAGTTACCCGTGGTCCGTAACAGAAGGGTGTGGATGGAGTCGTCACTACGCATGATCTTAAACTCGTTTCCTCTGACCAACCAAAAGGCAGGTGATATCATATCAGCGTTTACTCATGGGTGTTTTCTTTTTTTCCATTGGCAATTTGTTGGTCATACCACCATCTACCATCGTCACGCATCCAACTCTTGCCATCGCTGTTTGAGAATCAAGCGATAAGAGTCCATCCTTTAAGACTTGCCGGGATATCACAATAGACCTAGTAAGACATTGCAAATATATTACAATCCAAAGCAGGGCATTTATTATTTTGGTTATAAGTTGGTGAGGATTTGTTAGCATCCCTTGATAGATATGAAGTACTCCAACAGCTTTAAAACCATACGATAAAGAATTCGAATAGTCACCGGGAGGCTTAACTCTTAACTCTCTCACTGGGATAGGAGTGGTGAGGAAAGTTAGAAGGCACCTCGCCACATCAAGAAAAGTTTTTCTCTCACTTAGAGTCTCTCTTTTATTCAAATATGTAATTTTTTAATTGCTATCTCGAATGTATTTCTGACAGGAAGCTGTAAATAGGCGCGATCCATTGAAAAATGCGTGCTTCCTCGCTGGTATGTCCCATGAAATGTGCTCAAGGGAAAATATTTTATAATCTATGAAGTCATTGGCGATGCCAAGATAGCGACTATTAAGCTTTTTTTTTTAATTGGAGTTTAGACTGTCAGTAGGGCTGAACGAAATGTCGAACTACACTTAACTCTTCTTACTTTTTAAACAGAGAAAAAACAAAAAAGCTAAAACAAACAAACAAGAAAGAAAACCAAAATGAAGCAAAACCAAACAACAAAACAAGCCAAGAACAGAAAAAGGAGCAAAAATTGGTTTTTCTTCGAGGTCGTCTCTAAAGCAATAATTTATATTTATTCTGAAAGAGAAATAAGGGGTCTACGCTTACATTATATCGTAAATTTCCAGCTAGAAGCTCGAAGCTTCCGGGATGTCTCTCCATATTTTTCTTTAAAACTTCTTGACAAGAAATTACTGATTCGATTTTGTGAAACAGAGTTTATGTTTATTGCGTTAATGCAAAGGTAAGGGACGTTGAGTACAACTCAATCCCTTATTATTGATAATGCCTCTATAAAACAGGTTGCATTTATTAGATCTCTGCGGTTAAATGAGAAAGAGAAGTTGTCCTTCATGTATCGCTATCTTTCCGACGAGAATTTGCCCTTACGCCGTATTTGAAAAGCTTTCATCTTCTCACTACGCCATCGAAAAATTATTATTGTGGTACTGTGGTATTGTTTTGAGGAAATTGAAACAAATGCCTTGCATATTACCTGCAAAAACTCCAAAATTGCGGCCATGGTCTATAATCTCTGATTGGCCCTGCCCCCAGTCTTTGTACGGTTACTTAGCAAAATGAAATCTCTAATCATTCTGTGGGGAACCCTGTGGGCAAATTAGCTGCTGTAGTGTCTCGTGAACATTTTGTCAAAAACTGCCTCATTTTTAGAGGTTCAGTGCTGTGGAATAGTCTGCCTGTTAGGCAGCGGCAAGCATTAACTCTCTACTCCTAAATTCAGCTGCAGCAACTTCGTGGGAGAAAATCTACAATCTCTTTTATGCACGGCATTCATGGAAATCAGGGAACTTTTATATATTAACTGTAATTCTTAGGAATGTTAGCATTTGTTCTAGCTACAGTTTGTTGAAGATTGTGAACTAGATTTTGACTATTTTATCAATCTTGAATTTATACCATGGACTAAATAAAGTCATTGTATTTCTTTTTATGTCCTTTGGGGATATTTGTATCCCAACGTTCATCAGTTTTGCGCAAAAGGAAAAAGAAGAAAAGGAGGAACTTGTAATTCCTAACGGATCCACAAATTCAAAGAGTAGGACTGGGTTGGAGCGTTGCTGGTCTGAGCATTATAACCAAAGTCATATTCAGTGTCACCGCCTCTCAGGTCAACAAAAGAAGCTTCGTTAGTTTCTGTGATCCCAATCCCGTGATCTGCACGTGAACAGCTTTCTCCTCCTCCACCAATCATCATCACTGATCCATCACCCTCATCCCAGTCACACCAGAAGCCGATCTTCTTAGCGCTTTGGATGTCTCCACCGCACTCAGCCTGTTGAAACCCGTCTGTTGACTTGTACTGTCCGCCATATTGAACCGTACAACTACCCAGACACTGATCGTTGGCCCAGACCGTGCCATTTCTAAAGTCGCCATAACTTGTGATTTTAGATCGGAATGTTTGTCCACCCAAACAGTCACCTGTGGTTTGTAACAGAGGGGTGTGGCTGGGGTCGTCACTGCGCGTGATCTTAAATTCGCTTCCTCTGACCAACCAAAAGGCAGGTGATATCATATCAGCGTTCACTGATGGGTCATTTGTTGTTCCATTGGCAGCTTGTTGGTCAAACCACCATCTACCATCGTCACGCATCCAATTCTTGCCATCGCTGTTTGAGAATCGAGCGATAAGAGTCCATCCTTCAGGACTTGCTGTGATATCACAATAAACCTAAAAGTACATTACAAATAGATAAAAACCAAAGGAGGGCTCACTCAGTGATCATTTTGGTTATACGTTGGCGAGGATTTGATAGCATCCCTTGGAAAAGCACTTCTTCACATTAGGAAAGGTTTTTCTCTTACCAAGTCTCTCCTTAATTCAACTATGTAATTTTTTAAATTGCCATCTTGACTGCATTTTTGACTGGAAGCTGTAAATAGGCGCGACCCATTGAAAAATACGTGCTTCCTCGCTGGTATGTCCCGCGAAATGTTCTCGACGGAAAAATATTTTATAATCTATGGAGTCGTTGAGTTGTGCGACTATTAAAGCTTTTCTATTGGAGTTTAGACTGTCAGTAAGGCTGAAAGAAAAGTCGAACTACACTTAACACTTAATTTCGCAAAAAAAGACCTCCCGTCCGTAGAGGGAAAAAGAGAAGAGCACAAACAGAAAAAAATCAACAACAGCGAGAAAGAAAACAAAACAAAAGCAAAAAAACAAACAAACAAACAAACCAAGAAAAGAAAAAGCAACAAAAATTGTTTTCTCTAGGAGATAGTAACTAATATAAAGCAACGATTCATATTTATTCTGGAAGAGAAACGAGGGGTCTACACTTACATTGTATCGCAAATTGCCCGCTAAAAGCTCGAAGCTTGCGGGACGTTTCTCCATATTTTTCTTTAAAACTTCTTCACAAGAATTAACTGAAAATTGATAAAAAACAGGTATGAATACTGCATAAAAAATGAAGGAAATAGTTACGAATGATATTGTTGTGGTTCTCAGTCTAGAACAAGAGGCGTAAGAACACACAAGAACAAGAAGGCATACATAACAGAACTAAACTAAGGAAAAACTAAATCACACCAACAGTGTATAATTATTGGATGCTCATTTTGTATACAGTGGCCTAGGTACTAGTGATGAGATAACCCCTGGCCGGAATCTGAGCGATATCGAGACACATGCATGTTTTCAACTTAGTATTTTTCACATTTCGACGAAGATACCGGCTAGTTACTCATGGGATAGGCCAGGAGCTAGGGCATGTAGTTCGTTTGTTTGTTTACTGGTGCTATTGACCCACCTAGTTATCATAAGCATTACTTTGAGTCTCGAGGGCAAGATATCGTCGGAGACCACGACAATCACAAACTTGTCCTCGGTCAGTTTTAACGCCGCACCTTCTTTGATTTTTCAAAAGAATGCTTCAAGATGCTTAACCATGCAATAGTTTTTTCTACGTTTGAAATTCTGGACAGTTGAGATCAATTTAAGTGGACTACTGCTGTTGTTGTCAAGACAGAATTGGTCTCTCAGATTGGTATGAGATGAGTGTTTGGTAGCTGGAATGATAGCATATCATATTATTGATCAAAAGGCACCTTTTCTTTTGACGACTACTGACGTTGTTGTTTCTGCCAGTCCGATGCTATTTCTTGCGCGGCAGACATATTTCCCGTGACTGTTGAACTCAACAGTGTTGAGTTCGAGGCAGCCTTGTTCCTGGAAATCCAATGATGTATCAGCGGAGTGCACGTTACCAGCGCGTGACCATTCGACTCTGGGAGGAGGAGAGCCCATAGCCTCACAACAGAGACTTAAAACGGAGCCTTCATCTACGATGACCAAAGATGGTAGTTTCTTGACAAATGTTGGTGGCTCTGAAGGTAGAATAAAATCGAATAAAAAACCGACATGTAATAAACAACATCATGTGATCAATAGAAACTGTCAGCAACGTACAGCTACTTTTGGTCACATTGGAGAAATGTTTTTAGCGTTGCAAATAGCGAGAACATACAACTGAAACCTCTCATACTTTTTTAACATTACAAGCGGACATAAATTCCCCCAACGTAATAGGCATTAAAGGAGCTAAATTGCTATTTAAACACGTTCAATGTCGCCGGCTCACTGTGGAAAGACAAAAATGTGTATTTCATTGACAAGTGACTGTCTACACTGGTGTTAGAGATACACATCATAAAAAATCAGAAAAATGAGGGGCTGATATTCATACCTTTTACTTGTAAAGTGCTGAAACCCCTTAAACTTCCGAGACCAGTGTTAGCTGAACACATATACGACCCCACATGTGACCTTTGTACGCTGTTGATTCGAAGCGCTCCATTTTCCACGGTAACATCAGATACAGTACCTCCAAGCTTACGCCATGTTATTTTGGAAGACGTGTGGCCTTGAACCCAACAGAAGAATATTGCTGTCTCGTTGATAAAGACTTCATGAGTTACTGGATACACACTGATCTTCGGTGGAACAGCACATTCTCCCTTGGGTCCCTGAATACCAACCAATCCTCTGATGCCTTTGTTCCCTTTTAAACCAAGAGATCCTTTTTGTCCTTGACGACCCTTCGTTCCAGTCTCTCCTCTAATTCCAGGAGCTCCAACGGACCCTTTATCCCCTTTTTCACCATTTACTCCTGGAGGTCCAACATGTCCCCTTTTGCCACCCACGCCTGGAGTCCCAATAGGCCCCGATGGGCCTGGTGGTCCTACCTTTCCAGAGGCCCCTTTTTCTCCCTTATATCCGGGATACCCAAGGGCTCCTGGCGGTCCCGGGGGTCCTGCCTGGCATATTCTGTCTGAGGATTTACAAACTTCACTGAACTTGTTATTTATTTCTTGGCGGATTTGTTGTAAAGTTACAGTTACTGCCGTTGGACTTAGAGCAGCATTTCTTTTCTGTCTTTGGTGGTGATCCACATTTTGCGTTTCCACACCGCTTTCAAAGTCTGTACATTACACATGCAAAAAATATTAACCATTTATATTTTAACATCAGTATGCATATTCTCCATACGATTACTATGATGGCGACATGGAGAATTCGTTGAACAATCCAGAAGTTCTTTATTTGGTATGTATTTCCTCTGTTCTCATGACCGTGATGCTTGATTCAGGTGAACTTAGATGCTAGTCCCTTTTAAAAACGATTACATTTGTCCATGCAGGAGCCTGTTATACTTTGCTAAACTAGTTCTACGTTTAGACTTGTCCCACTTAGTGTCTACAAACGGTTGAATCGGTTACGAAGTGCGGATCTGTTACGACGTTCGTTAATAGATAATTACTGAGGTTCGCAGCATTATACCCAATAATGCTGCGAACCTCAGTAATTAACTATTATAATTATTGACCCTCATAAAATCCTATTGTTCTCTCTCTGCATTACATCGACGATTTCAGTCGCCCCTTCATATTGATGTTTTGGTACACCAACAATGCAACTGAAATCGCCGATATAATGCTGAGAGAGAACAATAGGATTTTATGAGGGTCAGTAATTATATATGGAATATCTCTTTATTAGGCATTAAACGAACTTGGTTTCGTGTCTTAAGCACTATGTCATACATTTTCTGAGCGCAGTAGCTGATAACCTCAGAGAGGGCACCATACGATAAAATATGAACTGGACCGTTGGACGCTTAGACCATTGGCCTACTTTTTTTGGACTATTTTTTTAGACCATTTTTTTAACCATTTTATGGACCTTATTTTTTAAACTGATTTTTAAACCACTTTTTTCTTGGACCATTTTATCGGAAGGTAGTAGACCATTTTTACTTAGGGAGGGGTGGGATGCAGTCTATCAATACTTAGGGAGGGGTCAAGGCAGACTGTTGTTACTGAGGGAGGGGTGAAAGACTAACTATTTGTACGCAGGGAGGGATGGAAGATTTGGTGGAAATCACATATATTATTCCAAAGAGTAAGAAAAAGGTTTGCAAGGAGAATACGACGAATGTCGCAAAATCTAGACTTAAATTCACAAATAACAAACTTTTGCAGTACACTTCCTACTGATAAACTTAAGAACGCAATTCTATAGAGAGAATGAAACTATTAAATTTGAGTGTGTAATAATCTGCTCATTATCGAGCAGTTCACAAAATTTGTGAACTTGGGGTGCCTTTTAGAATAAATGTTATCGATACAATACCCATGCCATTCATGCAAAACTACCGTCGTGGACACATTGATCGATGATCGGGGGTGGAAGCTGAATAATCAATAATGATAACGGGTGTAAGTTCAAAGTAAACAATGAATAATTGGGTTTGGAAACCTCGAAATAATAAATAACGTAGTCATGCCAATGGAATAATAAATACCGTTTTTTAATTCGATTGTCTTGGTTATGTATTTTCTGATATATCTTCACAAGCTTTTTTTAAAGTGAAATCAATGATGTGCAAAATAAAACTACAAGAGACGGAAAGCAGAAATTTTTTTTGGGATCACTTTCTGAAGGAGCTTAGAAACCAGGCTCCACTCAGTAGCCAAGCCTACTGAATTTGTGCCCAAGCCTTTTCTTGCTTGCGTGACCTTTTTTGTCACACTAGAGAATTCAAGGAACTTCGGCGAGTAGTAAACACAAGCTCAAATTTTTAACGCAGTAAAGAGGAAAACTTTTTGAGACTGAAAGGTAAGTAAGTAAGTTTCTTAGTGTTTTACAACCTAAATTTAGTGTTTCCTTTTGTAATTTTACAACTTACAGTAAATTGTCAAATCAATAACTCGAAAAGCTTACAGCTAAAATTTAACTCTTTATTAATAACCTTATACTTTCTTGATCTGATATCTCAATTAGCGATAACACCAGAAATAATTTGCTTTTGTGGTATATACTATACGTTTACCTAACTTGTTGAAGTACGTTGTCGTGAAATAATGCACTTAGCAACAATTAATCTGATTACACCAAACTGAGTCAATGTTTAAATTGTTCCCTAGACTGCCTGGACTGCCTGGACATCTGAGGCAACTGATAATGCATTTTGGGAGTGGTAGGGATGCTTACTTCATAGTGGCTATGGCTGTACCTGTCCTTTAATTTGCCTTGTTGTTTGTGATAGATTTTCCTTGCATTATCTGTTATTTTTTTTCAGGAAATTTTAGTCTGCAAGAAGAAAATTCTTTTACAGAAGAATCCTTTTCCTGTAACGTTTACAACTGTTGCTTACGTTTGCCATATTTCTGATATTTTTATCATAACAGAATTTTTCACGAAAATTATTTGACATTGAATTCTTATACAAATACTGCAAGGTCAAGCCTGCCCACCAACCCATCAAGGTGGTGTTGAAAACTGCAGTAAGGTCTATTGAATATAGTTAGAGTACTGAATTTCACTCCATGACTTACTACTACAGAATATGGGGCTTTTTATGATTAGGTACCAAACAAAAAAAATGCTTTCTTGGCTTATTTGCATCAAGCCACCTAATATAATTCACAAAGATTATTTGACATTGGATTCTCGTACAAATACTGCAAGGTCATGCCTACCCACCAACCCATTAAGGTGGTGTTGAAAAATGCAGTAAGGTCTATTGAATATAGTTAGAGTACTGAATTTCACTTTATGACTTATAATTACAGAATATGGGGCTTTTTTATGATTAGGTACAAAACAAAACAAAAAAAAAAGCTTTCTTGGCTCATTTGGATCAAGCCACCTAATATGATGCAATCAATGTCTTGTTTTCTGTATCGTGAGTCATTGCTCAGTTGGAATTGATATTTAAATCTTAATTATAATCATTTAAATCCAACTGAATGTATTTCTTTCATTACTTTTCCACTGACTGCCAAACCAGCAAGTCTTGAGGCATTAAACTGTGAGGACTTTAAAAAAGGCCCTATATTGTTTACATGCAGCTGCTTTGGGGGAGGGGAGTGGTAAAGTTTCAAATTTGGTTAAGAGTATGTAACACAATAATAACAATGATAATAATGTTAATAATTATAATAATAATTCATTTTTTCCATCCTTTGTTGCAAACGCATCTGACCCAGAGCCATTATTGGAACATACCAGAATAGCCCTTTTGTTAATGAAAGGCCTCAGTGGTGTACAGATATGATATGAAAATAATTTTCTCTTGTGTGAGGCATCAGTCAATTTAGGAATTACCAAGTGTAAAATTTCAAGTCAATATGGTCCAGAAACTACTCATTTTTGTAGAGGGTGGAGCAGGGAGGGGTGGAGGGGTCGAAATTATTAGGTTTGCGTACCGTTTTCACTCTTTGCACCCTGAACACTCAGTCACGCACACTTCAGATGGATGCTCAACACAACGGCGTCAAAAAATAATCAAGCAAATAACTAAGACGTGCAAAGCTTCCACGGTGAATATAAATTTACCGCTATAAACAGTGAAAAGGCCTTACAGATTTTACACGTAGCTTCTTTGAAGGTACAACTTCCTATGACGTTCTAACAAGATTATCAAGTTGTCAAATACGTATTTTCATATGATTGATACCAATTGCTTTATTAAGTCAAAATAAGCTTAATGTCAAGAATAAATAAGCGGATCACCCACTTACGACGAATTTGTGGTCCGTTAAAAAACGTACTTGGTTCAATTACGTAGTTCACCGAAAGGTTAATTTTGTTTGCCTGCTAGGATTTCTTTTAACATTGAATACATTTTCAAGACCTTTACTCGACGAGGTGCACTTCTTGCGATTGTTCTGCAATCTAGCGAGTCCTTCGGAAAAACGTCACCGAGAGCAGAGCTAAGACACTATTCAGAAGCAAGTATTTTCTAGGTTATCTTTGTCGAGGTCGTGTCTGGTCGACTTTTGTAAGGGTGATAGTGGGTAAAAGCAAGAAAGAGAAAAAAAGAAGTCGCGATCAACGGTAAGGCAATTTTATATCTATTTTGGTTTGTTTCAAACATGCGCCGATTTCAAGTCTATTCGAAGCTATCTTTTTTATGCTTTGGATATGATAAACATCTTTCCCTCAGCGAACTTTCCTGGTCACCTGAAAGACGGCGCCGTTCAAGGCGGTCAACCAGCAGGTCAACGCCAAACAGATTTTGAGATCGATTTGTAGTACGATGATGACGATAATGAATAGTCAGTCAGATCGATTATGATCGAGTAGTAAAGGAAATTTGGAGAAATTGATTTTTTAAGGATGTTGTTTTTAAATTAGCTCCAAAAGTTTAGGGTAAATTATTTGGAGACGACTTTAATTTTGTGTTGTCCTTTCCAAAATCTCGCACATCCCTACTGGGAATAGATAGCCAACCGACTTGACCTTTCGCCTGTGCTTTATCATATCGATTCGATGTCTTGTTCTTAATAACAATTAAATCTCCACTTGTCGAGTCAAAGTTTGGTACTAAGTTTCCCAAGCTTCATGATTTCAACATGGTTTACAAGGATCGCTTTTTTCCCCCTTCAATAATAAGTCGATCGCTGCCGGTGCAGCAGCTTACCTCATTTATTCCAAACGTCTACTCTTTCTGTTTTCTCAGGATTGGTGTGCGAGCGAAAGGTGAGCCGCCTGATAGCGCAAAAAAAGGCTCTTATGTTCGGCTCGTTTACACTTTGCTGAAAGGAAACGAAAAAGACCGTTACTCGGGCTGAGGTTTTGGCAGAGCGATAAAGATAGCATGCTCATTTTTGCAAAAAAATTATGTTCTCGCAAAAGTTGCCTTTGTTATTTTTGCACTGAAATGATTAACCTCGGCAGTGGTAATGAAAATATTTTAAGCTACTAACAGGCCAAATCAGTTTGGAAAAACAAAGAAAAAATCAAGTTTTTGGATCTAAAATGGGGTCCGCTTCACGAAGTGAGGATTACGATAATATAATACAACTACTCCATTCTGAGAACCACTGTCTGTGTTCCATGTTGTCCATAACGATTCTCGGCATCAATAAGGATCGCGATCACCATTTTATGTCTCAAAAAAGGAATTGCTTTGATA